GCGCCCCGCATATCATTCTACGTGACTGAAAACGCAAACGACTTTTTAGCCAAACAATTGGTCACACACGGCACACAAAGAGGTGTCGCAAGATCTCCGGGACAGTTGATTTTTACGCTTACGCTGATTTTTCACGTATAATCACGACAGGGAATGCCACGCGATTCTGAATTCAGCGCACTTGCGTAAACGTCCTTTGATAATGATCACGTGTTTCTTAAATATGACCGGGTTTTTGAATATATTACTTGGAAGCTGATTCGACGTATAGTCTATACTTTTTATGAATGGAGACCTGAATTCTAAGTCAGTCCAAAGTTTTGCATTAATCGTCAACATTAATAGTACTTTCTCCAAGCAAAAAATCTTACATAAATTAGGCGAGTGTATTTTATAACATGTATTCATCTAAAAATAAGAACACATGAGCTATAATAAAAAATAATATTTTGTGGATTTTTTTGAGGTTGTATATAAATGAAAAATCCTCTGACATTAACACAGAACCATTAAACAGCAGAATATTTTTTTGGTGTTATAATCATATATATATGTACATCGTTAATCACAATATATGGGCAATCTTTTTTGTTCCTTCAAACTTTTTGTAAAAAAAAATTATTCCTTTAATTTATTTTTTATGTCCCCTTGTTATGATTATTATTATTTTCATACAAAACAAAAATTTTACAAAAGAAAAGAAATATATGGACATATTTCAATATATAATAATATGTACTTATACATGTTCTTATAAAAAATTTTTCAGATAAAAATGTATACAGTTAGATATGTAGATTTAAACATAATTTTGTTTGGACCAAAATAATTATATAGGACACTCAAATTAGTTGATAAATGTTAAAACTTTTAGCAACACTTGTCATCAACTTAAATGTTTTACTTAATTAATTTAATAATTCAACAAAATTATTTTTATATGTATCTAATTAAATTTCTAGATTTTCAACAAAACGGGTCTTTCCTACATTTCGAAAAAAAATTACACAGATATAAAATAAATATTCTTTTTGCAGATATAAAATAAATAATTTTCGGCAATATTAATTATACATCTAGAGTCAGACGCTCGATTGTAATCTCGTAGGTATAATGCATATAAGATCGTGTACACTCAGGCTTCTCGCGTATGTCCCAATTGGTCACTCGCAGTTAACACGCTATTGTTTCACAGACGCAATGCACGGAATTACGATGTGCATCGCAACTGTACATCGCGCACCATTCACGAAGTTAGACGGCGCTAAGAAGGGAATGGAGGTCAAGTACTCGAAAACACATGGTTGCACGGTCGCAACACCTCGGAATAAGAGAAATTCCCTCGCTCGAGTTTACGCGACGGCGAGCAAAACGTGCAAGCTAGCAAGCAAGAATTACGGTTTCGAGGAGAAAAAGAAAACATAAGATATTATGAAAATGTTTGTTCGTATTTCTCATGAGAATGATTATTCACATTTTTCTCTACCTCACTTATTTTGACGTTACATTTACGTTACTTGATAGCACAATCCAATTCTGAAGATAGATAAAACAATTCACATTTTTACATGCTTAATCACAAAATACGTATTGCGTGGAAAAATATGGAATTAAATTGAAAAATTCAACAGCCCTGAGTTTTCTATTCTTCTAACTAGGAATAATGACTAAAAAGTCTGCATTTGATAAGCCGGATATGATGTAAGATGTGAACACTCAACAAGAAAAGAGAATGAAAACATTCCAGAGATATATTTGAGATCTAGAAAATTAATAAATTCGCTTCATAAATTTCGAGAATCATGATTATTTACGCTTCCGGTTTCACCTTATATTGCGATCTGAACACATCCGGTTCCGTTATTTCTTTCAATATAAAAAGATGCAACCGCAACCATGCAAAAATTATCATCCTGCGGGACTGTGAAGTAAATATGTGCTCTCGCGTGAAAAGCAGGAAAAGAAAAGTCGGAACAAACGGGGGTAAAGAAGGGGGGATAAGAATCCTGCATTTCTTCCGTCAGGTGCAAACGCGACTTTGCTTGGTTCTACTAGAAAGCGAGACCGATGTACTCGCGCATTGATGCATCGAGTGCCGATCAGCTTTCTTCCGCTTGCGTGTCGCGTAGGCGGTGGTTTTGTAATTTCGTTGTGAGGGACGAAAAGGAACGCGATATATCGACGTGTTAATGGACCCGCAGGCTTCGCGAATAAGGTTACCACATCTGAAAAAACCAGAGAGAAAAAAAAGAGAGAGAGAGAGAGAGAGAGAGAGAGAGAGAGAGAGTACACTATACATATACTTTTCAAAAGATGATGATTTGGGGATGGAAGAAGGATGTATAACTTTGTATGCCCTAAATATAGGTTTAATAAAATAAAAATTTTACAATGTAATTTTATTGACAAAAATCTTATTAATATAATTTTATAAATATAAAATTTTAATTATTGAACCAGAAGTTTAAAGCCTATTCTATAATTATGTAAGCGTAGTTGTAAGTGATTTGCAACTACGCTTATGCAGTTGTAAAATAGAGACTTTACGATCTCAAAAACAGTATGTACATGTATTTTTAAAAAAGAGTTCGGCTGATAACCCTGCTCGAAAAACAAATAACGTGAGAAAGACAAACAACGCAATTGACGACCATCGCACGAAGAACGTAAACGTTCTATGAATCTAATAAAGATCTAACAATAAGAGTTGTTAATGTATTTATACAGTAGCTGTTAAATGTAGATAATTATGCAAAAAATCGGTATATTCTATAAATGTATTAAAGTGGAGAGTATCTATATAGCTATTAATATTGAATTTTTATCTAAATTTATCTAAATTAATAAGAAATATTAAATATTGAAGAAATAAATAAATAATGAGAAATATTGAGTGATTTTTGAAATATTGAATTTACTTAAATTGATAAGAAAATTAAATGTATGTTTTATGTTAATCTAATGACAATTAATCTTGTGAGACGCTTTTCTGACACAATGTCGCGTGAAATTTATGTAATAGCTGGCCTTGCCATGAAAATTGGCACGTAGATGTTTATTGCTAAACAGTTATAATTGTCCGCAAGTGTGATATGCGAGAATCAAACAAAATTCACGATTTGATTAATGAGGTGAAGGTCTTGGCCATATTAACACTTTTTTAGGTAATAGCCAAAAAGGATAAATTTTTGAATTTTTTAATATTTCCTAATTTTTCGTGCGATCAAGGCATGAGAATATATCAAAAGATTTTACATAAATAAAATCAAGGATGTATGTTTAATTTAAAACATCAACAGATTTTACATTTAATTTAAACAGGTTAAAAAGTAAAAGTAATACGAAATTTAAGGACATAAATAAAAAATAATAAGATTATATATTTTATAATAAAAAAAAATAGGAAAGATATATTTCTTACATTTATACGTCTACATTTATAAAATTCCTCTGATGATTCTGATAGCGTTTTTGTCATCGCTTTTACGCATAATTATTTTCGATCTCTTCCACGTGGAATAATTAAAATTCTAATATATTTTTACGAGTCTTTTATCCCGAGTTTTCAATCCTTGATTTAGCATTACATCTTTATGATTAACCGGTTACCAGACACTTGCTTACCGCAAGTAACTGCAGAGCGTTAAGCGTACGGCCGCATAAGTGTATAAATAATAACATGCAATACATGAACGGACCGTACAGAAGGATAAATATTCACGCGAAAGGTGCAAAATGCCCACAACTGGTTTACATCTAGTGATTTTTTCTTAAACTCGTATCAGATTACGAGTTGACATTTACGATTGACGGTTGTTCGGTTCTATTTCAACCAATCAAATGGACTCGTTGCATTGTGCACTGAGAATCCCATTATTTATAGGTTTTTGTTCGCATCGCTTGAAATCTTCAAAAATGTTTGTACTTAAAAAGGAATAAATATATATATATATATATTCAGGCGTTGAAAAGAGAGAGAACGAAGATGCTAAATGCAAAAAGCAAGCATCGCGAAAGGATCGTATGTTATAAAAACAAGTAAAATGAAACAATAACCAATTTCGCTTTAACTAAATTATTTTATTGCATCAATCAAAAATTTATTTGCCCAAATAAGAGATCAATTGATTCAATTAAATGGGATTCTTATATATAGTGTAGTTAATTGAGATAGGACCGGGATAACCGATTAATCCTAATCGTCGATCCAGTTTGATATATATATACGGTCATTAAAAGAGACATAAAGTTTATCCCCCCGGGATATAACCGCGATATTATATGCGTGGCGGGAAGGAAGACGACCGTTTCAAGGAAACGCATAAGACATCTTTTTTTACAAAACCAGCTATCCTTGTTCCTTTTTGTATTTGACTCCTGCTGATCGAGTCGATCATTAGGTCGATAACCTCGATCGAAGGTCGTTAAGTCGTGACATAATTACATTCATGATTACCTCGAAAGATCGATCGTGTTACTTGTTAATTACTCCAGGTCTCCGGGATTGTTATCTCTGACACAAAGTGTAAAAATGAAGGATTATATGGAAAGAACCGACAGAAATGGAATAAAAATAAACGGAAGTTCCGTATTTTCGTGAAATAAATTAATTTTGCCGGTTCTATGCCCCCCTTCGACTTTTTGAATTGATTTCATGAGGATATGTAACTACAGGAGTAAATTCTTAAAACACGATGCTTTACGGTTCTTAAGGCTGCCGTTACTTCAGAAATACCGCATGAAATGACGAGAAACTTTTTCTTCTTTCATACAATGTACATCGAAATAAATTAATTTTGTACTTTGACTACAATGGCTACAAATATAACGAGAATTTTGAATTCCTTTCTATTGTATTTTTACTTATTTTAACATACTGAGCCTCATGATTTTTAATGCGAATTCCGTTCAGCGGAAAAAACCAAAAAAAGCAAAAAAAAAAAAACTAAGGAGCACTTCTAACTAACGGCAGTGACTCATCTTTCCTTCCTCTTCCTCAGGGGCGGCCGTTTCGTGCGGAGTCTTGCTAATAATCCTGGCTGCCGTCCTGGCGGTTCTATTTCCGAATCTTATCAACTTAATCCTGGACAAGGAGCTTACGATACGAGAGGGCGGACGCACGTTCAAATTTTGGAAGCAGCCGCCGGTCGTGCCACGTATGCAAATTTACATCTACAATGTGACGAACGCTGACGAATTTTTGAACAACGGAGAGAAACCAGCGCTGCAGGAGTTGGGTCCATACGTTTATGAACAACGTTGGGAGAAGGTGGATATCAAATTCAACGATAATGGAACGGTCACCTACAAAGTCAAGAAGACGTTCGTCTTTAATTCGGTAAGTTCTTGTCTAATTAATGGTACAGCAGTAATATTAATTGATAACTCTCGCTCTCTTCGTTTAAACCAAGTTTGATTTACATTTAGATATAGGTATATCAATATTGATCTTTTAATAAACGTTTAATTTCCGTGTTGAAATTATAATTATTTAAAATTTATATCTTTCCGTATTGAAATCGCAATTTTTCTAAACTTACATCATGTATCTTTTAATTATACAATAAGTCGTTGCTTTCAACAAAATATGAACATATAAATATTTAACTTTTTTATATAAGCATATAAATATTTATTGCTTAGCTTTCTTTTCACGCGAATATTTTCCAAGGTGATCCATTAAAACAGCTGAGACTGAGATATTCTTATTATAAGTAGCATTTGATTAGTATTCAAGATGCGCGTCTTTAACGCATAGGATGTATTACGATCTTTGATTGTTCGTTTATCCAAGAAGCACGAGAATAACGTCGGCTACTAAGAAAAAAAAAACCGGTGAATCCACGTTGAATGACAATCGAAGGCGTCACGTCGCCTCCGGGTTTATTTAAATCCGTCATAACCGCGTCGACTTGCGGCTGCACGGCTACTCTTGCTCGCGCATCGAAATCACTGCCGTAACTTTCTACATTCGACGTTTCAGAGAAACGTTTCTACGGCGTAGTCAAGTGTATTATCGTATAACTTGGCGACAAGAAAGACAATATGTACACGGACTATTTCTTGCTTCGAGAGAAAATTTATGGAAGAAAATATTTATTATGCGAATGCTGTGTAACGGTTCGCGAATTAATGTGGATTTTCATTCTTTGTCTGAACGGTCTCTGTTTCTTTCGCAAATTATTTTATTACCGTGCATTGTTACGTATTCTTTCATTTTCTATTATTATTTTTATTTTTTACTTAATTGTTTTTATTCGATTGCGCTGTTTTTCTATACACGCGAGATTTATACTTTGTGTAGAATTTTTTAAACTTTATATAATAATATGCTATTATTAACTTTTTATCGTATGTATGTGTATGTTAATTCTTAGTATACACGATTGAGTCATTCGTGTTCTGCATATTTCTTTTCTTCGGAAACTTGGAAGCATTAAGTAATTAGTTATAACGTTTACATAAAACTTTTTTAAATAAAAAATTAGTATGTCTTAAAGATACACTAATAGTGTGTAATTTGCTTATTACTAAATTAATTATTAAACTGTAGTTTTAATTTTGTCTGTTTGAAATTAATATAGAAACATCTATCGTGTGTAATAAAAGACCGAAAAATCATCGTACGTACTAAGGTTTAATTATTGTTAACCCTTATTCCTTTCTATTCTAAAATAGATTTTTATCGTATATTTATTCTTCTACAAATTTTCCCATTATTGCATTCAATCAGTCATGATTTTTCACTCGGTTAGATTTTCATTTTCTTTCTTTTCCCATCAAAATGTTAGAATCTGTCATCCGGTTCCGATGATGATTTGGTGGTCGTTCCGAACGTTCCTATGCTATCAGCTACCAGTCAGTCGAAACATGCCGCTCGTTTTCTGCGACTGGCAATGGCGTCCATCATGGACATCCTGAAAATCAAGCCGTTCGTCGAGGTGTCAGTCGACCAGCTACTTTGGGGTTACGATGACCCTCTGCTCAAGCTGGCCAAGGACGTTGTGCCCAAGGAACAAAAGCTGCCGTACGATCAGTTCGGTCTGCTTTATGGCAAGAACGCGACTGGGACAGATCTGTACACGATGTTTACAGGCAGTACTGATATCACCAAATTCGGATTAATGGACAGGTGGAACGGCAAGGATGCTCTCGGCCACTGGACCACGAAGGAATGCGACTCCATCATGGGCACCGATGGCAGCATATTCCCGCCTCATATCACGAAGCAGACCGTGCTCAAGGTCTTCGAGAAAGATCTCTGCCGGACGTTGCCGCTGGTTTATCAGGTTTGTGTTTTTGTTGGTCGTCTTTAATTATTCAACTGATACGACCAGAGGCGTTTGATCACCTTTTCAAACTCCGACTTAATCATTTTTCGAGGTGATAAAGTATGAAAGTAGGAGAATGTCGAAAAAAATCATTTCCGTTTTTTGTTTGCATAGTGTATGATTCTATATAATTTACCCAAGCAGAATAACAAATCATTATAATGTCAAAATGATGTCAAAATGACTCCAAAATGATTATTAAAATTTTGCAATCATTTTCGATTCATTTTAATGTCATTTTGACATTATCGTGACTTGTTGTTCTGCTTGGGTAATAATATTATAATGAATAACATGAATAAGTAATTAATAATATTAATATGTCGATCAATATCTTGATTAAATAAAATTTTTTATGCTAAAAACAAAGTTATTTTTTGCATTGTGAACCATGAACAATTAATATTTTTAAGACTTCAAAATTTTTGCTAATTTAATTGAACATTCCCTAATTGTTACGTTATTTGAATAAAAATATTGAAAATACCAAAAATCAGTAACATATTTTTTAATAATTTGGGTCGGCAATTTTAATTTTAATTTTATTTTTAATTTCGATGCGAAACTTGAATGGATTAGCTAAATATTATATAAGAAACATAAAGTTAATATGTTTCACGTCGCTTAGAGTTTTCAGTTTTGTTTTTAATTCCGCACGAAGAAAAACGTAAATTAATATGTGTTAGAATTTTAATAAATTTTATAGAATTAAAAGATCCATATAGAGATAGGCGCCCATTTATGTAAAATTTACTTTACTTTTCTAGAAAATGAACCATCGTATAGCTATACTATTAGATACTTTTTACATTTCGTAAAGTTATAAATTTTATGCTACTAAAGATTAAACTTACTTTATCAATGAGTATTTTTTACGCTGATAAAATTACTTTACTGCGCGGTAAAAAATTTAAGTGTATAAAGTCTCGAACTTTGTACATGTTTATAATCTTGAGAATAAAGTATGACTTCCTTTCTGAAAATAATCATTTGAATAAATTTATTATAATTGTAATATTTACCTTTTATATCTCTCGGTATTTTTATATTCAGAAACAAATAAAGTTTGTCATAAGTTTGGCAAAAATAACCAGAATATTTTTACTATACGATATATTCTTGTGAGACAAAAATTACTCAATCATTTTCTCCGTGTAAGCTGTGCTTTTACTTATTTAAAAGGGCGGTACTAATTTTACAAATCATGAATCAATGCCTTCAATAAAGTATTAACTTTGGTCTTCGCGCATCAAAGAAAATTTTGTTTTCTAGCGCGAAGTAATAGCCGCCGGAGGAGTCCCTGGCTACAGATTCGCCCCGCCGACGAATGTCTTCACCTCGGTAGAAAACATGGCGTCGCAGCAGTGTTACTGTCCAGCTGGACCACCATGTGCACCGGAGGGCACGTTCAACGTCTCCCTGTGCCAGTACGATTCGCCAGTTCTCATCACTTTCCCGCATTTCTACCTCGGTAAGTGTCACGTAATCTGCGGTTCTGGTCTCATCGACGAAACCTCATTTACAAATTACTATCGTAATGAGATTCGAGACGAGATATTTTTATTATATTTATTGGCAATTATCGTATTTATCAAAGTTAATTGCGATAAAGTCGGATGATATATCGGATGATATTGTATTTCGCGTCAAGATGCGAAATGATTGAGTAACACACAGCAAGTGTTGCGACTTGTTTTTGCTGTAATTATTATTATTATTATTATTCCCACGATTTATTGCGAGCAATTGCGAGCTCTGCTAATCGTGGAACGCGATGCACATCATCCGATACTTGACGTAACGTATCATATCATGAATATCTGACACTGTGAATCTAAACATCGTTTGGGTCGATCGTTACGCGATCAATCTCTTGCGTGTATGTAAAAGTGTATCGCCTTACATAAGCACAATACATAATTTGCCGGGAATTATTTTCTTAGCAGATTATCGCGATAAGTCTGTTTGCGTCGTATATGCAACATACCGTACATTTCCTTCCTCACGTCATCGACGCTTCATCTATGTGTCTGCGATCTCTCGTCATTACTTCCTAGTCGCTGTCAAGCGAACCAATTCTTCATCTTCTTGCGCCCACGTGTTTCCTTTTCTTTACGCAGAACAGGTAATCGACCGATCGACCGACCGACCGACCGACAGGCTGGCTAACGAAGATCGCTTACGTGCGTGCTAGTTTCGTAAGCGAGATCTACTTGTCGCGTCGCTTCCGGCTCTGTGCGACTATAACTAGAAGTTGGAGTCGGTCGAACAGTCTGTTACTATGAGACCTATTTTTCCTAGGCACAATCTCTTTCACGCATCCGCCGTGATTCTCCCACGAAATATTATACGAACTGTTCCTCTCGCATTTATCGCGCATATATTTTCGCATCGCGCAAACTTTTACTTTCAACGCTCCAGATTTTAGACGACGCTCCAATAGAAGTCTAGTTTCACCGTCGTGTGAAATCGTTCTCTCGTAAAATAAAATGCGCAAGATACTCAATTTCGTTTGTCTAACACAAAATTTAAATGAATGACTTCTTAAGCGAGAGAGAGGGACGTTTAAAAAAATCGATATTAACTGTCGTAATTAAATTTTTATAAATAAACTTTTTTTGTAATTGTTTATAAAATAAATGAACAATGTTATATTATTATATTTTTAAATGATTAATAATTACAAAATATAAGTCAAAAACTAATATAATTAATATAATATAACATTATTATATGAAATTATAATAACAATTACATCAAGTTACGAGATCACATTTTATTTTTTTAAATTGTATTTTTTTATTCTGTATTTTATGAATAATATCGGGATTTTTAATTAAAAAAACATAAAATTCTTTACAAAATTGAAAATTATATTTCACATTTATTATTTTTACTTATTATTTATATTTATTATTTTCACATTTAAAAAAGAGAGATAATTCATAATCATGTTCTTAGTTTGAGACCAAATTTGGGACTATTCCTCCTAATTTGGAACACCTTATACAAAATATGATACTCGATTTCATTCAAATAACACAAGACATCTTTAATGCAAATTCCTTTACGAATAAAATATTCTATAAATGACACCTATATCTGCATTCTTCGAAAAAAAGAGTACAACGATTAAATGTTATTTTATGTTAATAATGATATAAACGCTTGCTTTAAAAGTCATTTAATTATAAATGCGAAAATAATAAAGAGAAGTCGCGCGCGCATCATTATTTTAATTTTTTAATTATTATTTTAAAAAATGGAAAAGACGGATAGAATTCCATTTCTAGAATATCATTGCTTTTCTATTTATGCGTTTTGAAATTAAGAATCTTAAATATGGTCCTTAAACCACTCGACTGATGATAAAACGCCACTTAACTGTGGTGCATTACGTCCATTTTGTACGTGTAACCGCACGTGGTGACTTTTGACACTGCGAAGCAACGAAGCAATGTTATTATGTAAAGAGCGTAACTAGACTAATGATTAAACTGGCATCTCTGCTGATTCACGTCAAATAAACATAAACTAGTTTTACGAATTTACAAGATAATTTAATATCAAAAATCGAAGAAATTATATCGTAATTATTCATAAAAATGTGATGTTAATAGTAAGTTTAATTTTGTAGAAACAGATATAGATTAGATAAATAAAACATTTTTATTAAACATTTTTATTCTACATTCTAGGATAAATTCTCTAAGAATATAAAGAAGACAAAGAATAACAAATAAAGAATAAGCAAAAAAGAATTTTTAAACGTGACAGTAAGTGTAGTATGATAAAATAGAAGTTTGATAAAGAACAAAATATATATATAAATTAAGCAGAATTTTCTCGAATAAACGACGATACATAATAATATAAAAAAGTTAGATAGGGAACATATTATATACGCAAATTAATATGGCAATTATTATAATTTTTTCAAATTAATGGTGATATAAGATAACACGAGAGAGAGAGAGAGAGAGAGAGAGAGAGAGAGAGAAATAATAATAATAGCTTAATTCTGTCGAGTGATTTAGAACCTCACGTTGTTTACCTGTTTGATTGTTTTTTCAGCTGATCCAGCTTTACGGGAGGCTGTGACAGGCATATCTCCGCCGGATCCCGAGAAACATCAGCTGTACATTGACGTACAGCCTATAATGGGCACGGCTATGAAGGCGCGAGCGAGGGTACAAATTAATCTCGCAGTTAGCCAGGTGCGAGATATCAAGCAGGTCGCTTCATTCCCCGACATTATTTTCCCCATTATGTGGTTTGAGGATGTAAGTATATGATACTTTTTAATTATATCCAGCACTATTGTCATATAGATTTTATTAGATATCCTAATAGCACACTTTATCTGGGATACATCCTAGGGATGTCCTTAGGATGTTCAAAGGACTTACGGACATCCTCAAGACATCCTCTGAAGGTCTATGCTGTTAGAGTATCCATTGATTTTGTGTTAGTAATTATATAAGAATACTAATAATATAATATAATAATGCTATTTATATATGGTACGTAACATCACATGATAATTAATGCATTATGTGATATATTCATAATTACAGTATCCTTGATGAAATGAATCTCTTGTAATGATTGTTGGAATTTTTGATTATTATCTGTTGTTACTCACGATGTTGAAAAAACGCATTACATATCGGATTTGCAGTCAATTTTCTGCAAAATTTTAATTTGTGCTGAATAATTATGTATGAATCATAGGGTGTTTAGTGTAAATTATCACGCAGCAGACGTAGTTAAATGCTAAATGAGCACAGCGCGTGAAATTATAAATCCTAAATCTAGGATACACGTAAAAAATAGAGATAAAAACAGAGATACCGCTGTTTTTATAGTTGATAATCGCGCGTGTTGTTATAAATAAATTATCTATTAAGAAAATCAATTATTAAGTTTGCCAATGTAGTGAAAATTTTGTTAATTGCGCTAATGAGAGCTTCAACGTAAGTGAGAAGATGTTCGAGACTCGCTTATCCTCCTTAAGGGTCTACATATATAAAACACATAAAAATGAATAAATAAAAAGAAAATAAAAATATATTAAAAAAATATATTGGAAAATTCTTGCTGTGCTCATGTCAGTGTGCGAACCAACTTTACTATTGACTTCGAAGGAAGAATGGTAAAATGAGAGGAAAAAAGACGAAAAATGGCACGAAATGAACATTTAAAATGGAAATAAAACGACGCATTCATTGACAAAACAGGATTCGTGAATACCAAAATACTAAAGTATAACACGCTTCGGCACAGAGAAACGCAGATCGAGATGGATAAGATTTATAAGAGACATTAATTATTATTCATTAGCAATCGCATGAGAAGTGTACCTTCCAAATCTTGAATAATTGAGCGAGCCACTTCGATCAAATAAGCGTGACGCTCGTTTTGCGAATCGAGTTCTCCTCAAGGATGTTTCATTTGTTCCCTCTATAGTCTACGTTACTGACAACGGAACGCCACGTCGCTTACAAATTGTCGCCATCATCCTCGAGTCAGTTGTGCAGGTGAAATTTTCATCTCTGCCTCTTCGCAGTCTCGACAATGACGGGAACGTGCCTGCCGTTCGCCGTTTCGCCGCTCGGCAACGACGTGCGTTTGAATACCATGCACGTAGAGGAGGAAGTATTGTCGCACGCTTTTCGTCCATGATTCATATTAATGGAACTTGTCTCGACGTTGCTAATAAAGAGTTTGACGTTGTCCCCGCCGCGACGAGAAAAAAAGAAAAAAAAAAGAGAGGGAACAAACTCTCCGACTCTGAAAATTTTCTTTGTACTCAAGACGGCACATACTCGAGACTGCGAGGAACTTTGATTTGATCATCTTCAGAAACGTTCTCGCTGAAACAAATGTGAAAACGAAGATTGATCTTCTTGTTCCGAGGTTACATCTTCGCCGACAGCTTGCCTTAAATCAAATCCGATCGAATTGAATGTTCTTTAATTCTTAATACATAATGTATATTGCAGCCAATATTCTTCTTTTAATTTTATGTTTTTTAGTATTTTTAATTTAACTATTTATTTTAAATATTTCCTAAGTGAGAGAAATATCCATGGAATTAGCACACGAATATATCCATATTAATTGTGAGCATTACTATGTACAATACATGTATAAATAGAATGATCTAGAGTTTTATTTATTTTGACCTTAATGGACAGGACCAATATTATATATAATTATATATTTTCAAACGTTATGAAACGATAAAAGAAATCTCAATAAAAAAACCTTTAAAATAGAGAGAGATCACGCGATGAACATGTTATGCAGAATTATATAATTATAAGATTGGCCCTATAAATAATTAAATGCTTAAGTGTGTTGTAAGGCAGAGAAAAATACATGATTTGAAAAAAAATTTTTTACCGAAATGTATAATTAGTGGCGACAAGAGAAATTTTTTAAAATAATTCGGCGATCTATTCAGGTTAATTTTTTTAACAACAATAATTAATTAATTTTTTTAACAATAATAAGAAACACACACAAGACCGATTATATCAAATATATAATTAAGTCAATTAAGGCCCGGTTCCACCCACGTAAGATAATCTTGATTTAAATATTGTTATTTTTTTCTAATTTTGAAAATTAGAAAAAGATACAGAATAAATTCAGATTAAAGTTGACCTTACATTGATAGAATTAATGCTTGAAACTTCTAATTCTTTGAAAAGTAAAGAATTAATTGAACCAAGGTTAAAATTAAATTACATTGGTAGAAACTGCCATAAATAAGAGAAGCGCCATTTACGGTCAAAGTCAGATGTTAGAATAAAGTCCAATTGCACCAACGTTACTTTGACTTTAAGCAAGGCTTAAAATTCTTTCTCTCTTTCTCTCTCTCTCTCTCTCTCTCTCCCTCTCCCTCTCTCTCCTCCCTCCCTTACTTTCCTTTTTTTTCTCTCTAAAGTCAAAAGAGAAACAGAGAAGGAGAGAATTTTAAGCCTTGCTTAAAGTTGAATTAACAATCGAACTTTGTACACTGTTTAAATACATATGTATTATTCCATTGATCTTATAAATGGCGCTCTTCTTACTTAGCTTTTCTTTCTTAATTTTTTACATTTAAGGATAGATGAATTAAACAGAGGCATTTCTTTTTTTTTTTTACAAAAGCTACGTTTAGCAAAAAGCAGCTTTGAAACTGTTGTAAAATTCTCTAATATGATTAATCTTACCCTTAGTTCCTTATTAGATCTAAATGTATAAACCAATCATATAAAAGAATTTTTACAATAGTTGCAAAGCAGGTTTTTCTTGATTATTGAACGGAGCCAAATCCAGTCCCGATATCAATAACATATTTTTCTTTTCTATTGCACAGTGCGTCGACGAACTACCCCCAGAGATGCGTTCTCTGCTGAAGTTAGCGGTAGAGTTGCCACCAGTGGCCCATGCTGCGGTGTCCGGCGCCCTAGCCGTGATCGGCGCGATCGTCCTGCTCGGCGCTCTCATGTGCCTGGCGCGCGCCGCCAAGCGCCAGGAGAAGCTGCACCTGAGCAACCCATTGCCGGCGAACGCGACGAGCACCAAGACCGGTCAGCTGAATCCTGCTTTCAGCAAGTAGAGTCCAACCGGGTCACAAGTGAGGGAATCGAAACGAGTGCGCGAGTGCTCGGAGTTCCACCCCGCGAGATGAGTCGCGCGCCGGGTAGCGTGCGAGTGTACCCTCTCGCGAGGACTTGTACGATAATCTTACTTATCTTATAGGCGACGGGCATGTGCTTTATATTTCTCGATTAGGATTTCCACATTCAATTTCGCAAGAGAGAAAGAAAAAGCGGAACAATCTTAGACAACGAAAAGTCCAAAATCGAGATATAAGGGCTTCCGTTTTCACGTTGTAAGCATCAATTCTCATCCTTGTTAAATATCAATGCCCTATCAAATATTAAATAAATAATGCTTACAAGCGCTGTAAGTGCAAAATGGAATGCATCCAAGATATGTCTTTAAAATGTTTGTAAGACATCTTACGTCTCCTTTTTGGATGTGTTGTCTGGGATAAGTTACGTCATTTTGACATCAGATAACATTATTTTGACGTTCAAACAAATCGTAAATGATTGAAAAGTGACTTTTAATGATTTTGAAGTTATTTTGGCATCATTTTGATGTCAAAATGACATTGACTTATTCTATTTGGGAAGAAAGGAGAGAAAAGATGGAGAGGCTGCCCAATGAGACACGAATTTTATCGGGTCGCATGCGGACAGTCGGTACATTAAATTTATTTATATTACGTGTGTTTCTTCTCGGGATGGTGTTTTGTTAGACGGTGTTGAGTCGCGCGAGTACAAATTAATCGCGAGCAACGGTCGGTGACGAATTCGAGATCTGTGGAGTAGACGTTGTTTCTCTTATTGCTCGAGACGTAATTGTGACGAATCCACAGATCTTTCCTTCGTGAAAGATCGAGTTAAAAATTTGAGTTGAAAAAAACTCGGAAATATCTGTGAGCGAATTTAAAATCTAGGTCTTCCCGATGAAAACATTGCGAAAGATCCGCGCTTTGTCGCGGGTTTTTAAATTTCACTATTTGACTTCTTAGCTGATAAATTAATCGAAAAATAGAATTTTATGTTTATATTTAGATTTATTTTATTTTACCTTGACATTATCATTATGGAATGGGCAATTAAGCTGACGAATTTTTTACTATAATATTTTTTTACAATACTGCACGGAAATAAGAAATTGAAGTCGAGTCATTGCTAGGGAAAACTCGGCGATTAGGATTTATAATGACGCAACACCGTTCTTTTTATTAGGATTATTAATATTAATAACGAGCTGCTCTTTGCTCCACACGATCGAATTGATCTTCAAGGATCATCGTTTAATCGTGCGAAGCAATTATCGCTGCGAACACTGACGTAAAGGATGAAGGATGAAATTGTTATTCCGTCCATGCCGTTGTTCCGAGGACAAGCTTCGTTCACGACTTCAATTTGGATTGCACGAGCGTGTTTGCGACGAGTAGTTTTGTGCAATCGAGACGCAGCAACAGCGGAACGACAGAAATCTTTTTTTCTGTACATAGAACCTGGCCGTTGTCGTCTACCGATTGTAATTATCAAGATTGTACTATTTCTCGTTATTCGTTTGTACATGTATTATTATTATTATTATTATTATAAATAATTATTAAACGTAGATCATAATTAGATTTAATAAATAAATTACTTTTGTATGATAAAAATCAAAAGATACCAAATTGCGCGCGAGCGTGAGAAATCTGGTTAATGGTGTCAACGTAATCGTTATATAGTTGGATAACTATACTCTTTCTCAACCTTACTAACTCACACGCGTATGCAAACTCTATGAAAAAGTAGAGTTTTACAATCTATTAGCTTGCTGCAAAAGATTTAACGTTTTTTTTTTCCTATTAAATAAGAACGAAGCTGAAGTTTCTTAAAAAGTGAAAACTTCTTTTTGGAATTTAATAGTGATAATTTCTATTGGATTTTCTGGAAATTATGCTTTTCACTTATATTTTGATAAATATAAATCTTTTGCACCAATCTGATATTTTGATTTAAATTCCAGATATGAAAGAAGGAGAGAAGAAGAAATAGGAACTCTTCAACTCTGATTTATTGCTCACGCCTTATTCTTATACGTCTCTTCTCTTTTGTCCTGGAAATTTTCAAATGTTTTCGAACTTTTTTTCACCCTTTCGCGTTCCTCTTGCGTCCGAGGAACAGAGAGGATTAGGGACTCATCCGAGAGATGAATGCAGGAGGAATGAGGAAAATATATGATAGAATTAATTTTACGATACGACAGAGATTGATTTGATGTTACGATTATTCCACTCCTATTCGCGTGATATCGCGTTGCGACACATTATGCTTTTATCGTCCACACGCATTACGATGGACGATGTGTGTGCGTGCAGACGGTGCATTTTACACTGATACGAAAATAAGTTTCCGATGAAATAAGATCTCGTGTTGTTAGGGTTATCGAAATGTGAACTCATGTAGACGATTCAGCGATAAATCAAGCGTAACGAACGATTTGCATAGATATATAATTAGCTCTTATATCCGTGAAAGGATAATTCTCGAAAGCGTGTGAGATAAAAGGAGCAAGGACGCCTACGAAGGTAAGTAGGAAGTCGTCGTAGGGATAGTTGTAAATGCCAAACATAAATATCTGCCGTATTAAAATAAATTCTTTTTCAATCAGTGCAGCAAAATGAAAAATAACGACTCTCGCGCCTCTATACAATCATCAGACATACATACATATATACAACATCAGACATACAGAAAATCTTTTCTCTCCGCATTTGGATTTATTACAATTAGAGAAAGATAGGTAAATACGTGGTGCACATCGATAAATACCGCGAGTCCCGTGGGCCCCTAATAAGATAAAAGTTATAATTATGATACGAATTTGAACCGCTGCCGAATAAATTTAATTAAATAAGAGAAATTCAACCAAAGTGAACCTTAATGCTTAAATATTTTTATGTGAATTTATATACATATCTAATTCTACAAAAATCTTACATTCTACATTAAAGAAACCTGTATCGAATCTCGTTGAGACAACGAGCTTATTAATTGAACGGTCGTATGTAATACATACTGCTCTCTGTCGCGTGTGCGTCATCACTTAATTAAGTACAGGTCGATCATTACGGCGCGATGTAACGCACCGTCGCGGTCGGCGACACCGCCAAGTAATAACACGACGAGATACAAATGCTAACCATCGACGGATCGCAACCGCCGCCGGCATAATTACACATTATTTCTGATGCACTAAAGTCTCAATCATAACTTTGGCCGTGTTGCGGGCGTGTCTCTCTGTCACTTTCTCACGATGCAACAACGGTACGTCAACTTATCATAGGAATTACTGGTCCACCGGCATTCTCTTAGACTTTGCGTTCGCCGGATTGATTATTCGCAATATTAAATGATTTCACGATGGATCGCGTACGAATAAAAAGGGAGCTTTAGAAACTTGTTGATTGTTTTTAAGTTTTTCAGTTAAAAAAAATGTCCTTTAACTTTGCGAACGAATATTAATATTTAAATTTTTATCATATTTTTGAAAACGTTATTATTCGCGATAAACAAAAATAGACGTATCATTCCTAAGATCTAGAATAAACTCGCTTGTTAAACGTTTTATCAAACCGCAAAGCGTTGTTAGCAAAAAATTTCATACGGATGAGCATTTTATCGTTTTTATCTTCGAGCAATCTATTCATTCTCATTGAAATTATGCCTCATAATAACAAACTCTCTTTGTATAGAAATGATTAGCATAGTTTGTCAGTAACGTACATTATTCTAATTGCACAACAATTATTATTTACGTTACCGAGTTTTACTTGACCCAAATTCGTTTTTCCGTGCCTTTACGAGAAACTATCGGCATCTTTTGTCTTTAACCGAACATCTCGAAGCACAAAAACTTCAAGAAGTGTTTAAAAAATTCAAAACGTCTAAAAAATTAGACTAAATATAGTTCTAATATCTTTTGAACACATCCGTATTACCTCAGAATTCCTGTTTTCTTTTTTTTTAATAGATCGCGACGGTTTTCGCTCATTCGTTAATTTTGTTCAAGCGGTTTCCATTCCGTTCAGAGCATCTCAAGAAGGTTATTTTGAACGAACGAGTTTCTTCAGAGAACCACATCCTGTTTCGAGCGAGATTTCCAGAGACAGGCAATCATAGCACTGAAGGAGAGTATCATCGTTATCAGAGTACCCCATTGCAAAGCCAATTCGATATTGCCCACTGTGAAATGCGCGCTCTGGGCGACTTTCAACAATTGTTCCGAAGGTTCGCCTATCTCGATTTCGATCCAGATAAGTGGAAGGATCATGCCATCCTTCAAATTCCCGAGAAACGGCACGCCGATTGCCCTTCGCACTTCCAGGTTCAATTGCATTCTCGATCGGCCGGCTAAGGCAATTGCTAGGCGCTAAAAATAGAAATTTGAGTTTAATCTTTATTCGCTTTCGATTGTAAAAATAGTAATAAAGACTGGAGATGCTGTTGCTTCTCAATTCTTTAACACAAATTATTATAGTCATTCTATCTTTGTCCTCACTAAATATCGAATAAAGACGGACTTTTATGTCGATCTTCTATTCTACTAGAAAGCTCCCAAAACTCGTGAAATGAAAATCAATCATAAGGTTCAAATAACAACGATTGACACGACGTAATTATCTATCCTTACAGAAATTTAATATTGCAAGGATCAATAATTAATTATAATTACTTGTTTGTTTTGCATATTAAAACTATTATTTAGTGCTTTTAGTACTCAAAATTATAGTAATCTTTTATTAAATTATTGGTCAGTATTAAATTAAATTTCTGTAAGTTAAATAAATATTTAATCGTGATAATACAATAGTTAAAATTTAGTGTTGACTTACTGGATGTAAGTCTACGTAGGCCTCGTGATCTTCCTGCCGAGGATTTAAACCATCTATTTGTTCCAGCAAAGACTTGTCGGCACCATAAAAATGCGGAAATGATATGAGCATGGGCGTGCCATCATTGCACGCGGACATGTTAAAGAGTCCTGAGGGTGGACAGACTCTCTTATCATATACTTTCGGGCAGAAGCATTCGTTTTGCTTATTTGAGAAGTTGTACGCATCTGGGGTGAATTTATATCTGAGACAAGAAAGAAAATCACACATGTCAAGAGACGTGCCTTCAATCAATTTATATTTTTCAATAACACTACAGTAGTAATGTATTTTCTCATTTTCGAATTATTTTTTATAAACAAAAACCTTTAATAAAATGATAATCATAATAATTATTATTATATTTATTATTATAATTATAGTAATAATTATTATTATTATTATTATGCGAGGAGCAGTATCAGACTGCTTCTCGTTCCGATAAAGTGAACTGTAACGTTCATGAAACGTTAGCATTTCAAGAATGAATATAAACACATAGAGATAATCCGTGAAACAGATAGCTTCTATATAGAAAGTACTCGTGGAAGCCTCAAAAGTATAAATAATAATAATAATTGTAAAGAAATTCTCGTAACCGAAATTATCATTTTATCAGACAGATTTATAAGAAAAAAAACGCTTCGAAATGTGAGAAGGTTATATTATTATGTAATAATAGCGTGGAACTAATTAGAACAATTTTTAAAATATTTATATAAAGAATATCCTAAGACTCGGATTGGAAATATTCAGGAATATATATATATAACTTTTCTCTACTTGGCGATCAAAATTTGCAATTAAATCGTGATGCATTAAAGTGCAAAATTTAACTTTTTATTTACCTTAAAGAAGGTATGTCGTAGATAGTCACTTGTTCGGCGAAATGGAGTGGTATCTTCCTGCACATATCCTTAGCATACACGTAAAGGGGTTTACTTGTGTCCTGTATTAAATATGGTGAAAATATACCCTCAGTGCCTTCAATTTTATCGCATTGCTCGTCATCCCAAACGACCCGGCTATTTAGTCCGTTCACTCGGTCGATCATGCCGAAATTTTTCTTGTCTCGCGATCCCGTATGCATCGTGATGCGATCCTTATCGAGACCAGTTTTCTATTTTAAAAAAATGTGTATTTCACGTTAATCGCAATTGAAAGATCATATTAATATATCTAAAAGACAATTTCACTATAACGATAAAATTACCTTTCGTGATGTTTATTTTTTAAGAAAAAGCATTTATCGTTGTAAAGTAAATATTTTAAGAATGGTATTTTTATAATCGGTATTCATTATCAGTTCTTATTAAGATATTTAAGTTAAATTATTCTCTTCAAGAAGAACAAAAAAGTCAAGATAATGTCACATTGATTGAATTAAGAAAAAAAAAAATGATATAATTCGGTCAATATGGCGTCGAATTGACATTAGTTCAACTTTCTTGTTCTCTCTGGATCGTCTTAAGACATTACTTAATATGCTAATATGACTCTGTGATTGGCTCATAAGATTTTAAGACTGTACTTAAGACTGTCTTAAATATAAGAACCGATTATATATGAATACCGACATAAGTAGAAATAAAATTTTCAATAAGATTCAAAACTCTTCGCGATTAAGCGTATGTAATCGCACGCACCATGGCCAGCATGCCGAACTTTTCAAAGGGTATGTCCCGCTGCAGCATCAACAACGGCTTGGCCATGTGGAAGAGCTGAGTGTCGTATCCCCAGAGGAAACCGTTGGCAGTCTCACTGATGAACGACTGCTCCTGCAGAGTCGACAGTACCGTGTTAGTAACGAATCGCACTGCGAAACTCAGGTCCCGAACGTATGCGGTGGCGAACATCAACGGCACGTTCGGCACCACGACAATATCGTTCTCGGGTCGCCCGCCTATCCATTTGTAGGATCTCCTGGTCTGATAAGTGATAGTGCCATTATCGTGCAACATCACGTTCATGCGACTCATCGTCTCTTGATATACGTAGGGACCGAGCTCTTGGACGCGCAGCTTGCTCGCCTCGTTCGCCTCGAATTCGTCCACGTTCGTGTAATTAAAGATATAGATATTATATTTCATCTTCAAGGGTGGGCGCTCCCACCAGTCGAAGATGAGAGTGCCGTTACGCAATTCCAGCGACGACAACACATAATTGTTGACCACATCTGCGTACCAAAACATGTAAAAGCCGACGGAACTGATCAGGAAGATGCCGCAGTAGATCCAGATGCGAAGACGATGACTGCGTCGAGCGCAACGCCCGATCGCCTTCTTCTCTATATCCAAGGCGGTGTCGGTCATCGAGATCGTCATACCGATCGCCAGGGTAACCGGTGAAAGAGACAATAATCTACTAACTGTGCAATCTCAATTTTTGTCGAAATCAGAGGAGAATCTCAATTTTTAATTTAGGTTCGATCAAAACTGAGTCTTTCGGTTTTCGAAAAGCAGTTTCCAAAATCAAAATCAACTGCTGGAGGACACTGTCCTTTAAAGACCTACGTCCGTAGCAACAAAGACGAACGATTGGAATCTCCAACGCGGTTGAATAGAAATCTCAATCGGACACAAGCAGATAAGTCGACGACGCGGCGGAGCGTCACCGTTGACGTATAACGTTTTAAACGAACTGGCCAGTTAAGCCATGCCGATCGCGTACAAAAACTTCCCCGCCTTTTTTAAAACGATAATATTAACGATAACCTTGCCACCCAGAGATTGATGACCTTTGATAAGTAATCCGATATATAGTTCAGTGCGCCAAGTTCAGAGGCGATGTCACTGTCTTGAGTTCTCGCTCTTCATTATCGCTCTTCTTCAGGTTTTCGGAAACCATCGACTGAAGAAATACCTGAATATCTAACGCATTTAGAAAAACATCTCTCTGAGAAACCTTGGAAAGATCACTTTCTTTCAGGCGTATTTAGCATTGTCTTTAGCTAATCCCTCCTTATCGATGGTATCGTCACGCGAATTTACGTGTTTTATTTTAGGTAAATTCCTGAACAACACAACAAAGAGCGTTTTGAAAGGGCGTTCGAAGGAAGGGAAGAGCAAAAACGAAAAATTATAGGAGCTAGAAGAAAGACTGACCATCAAAATCGTCGCTGATTCGGGTAGAATAATGTTGCCACCCGCACCGTTCGCAATTGTGTGAGAGGTAAAGACAGAGAAAAAGAGAACATAGAGGGAGAGAAACAGAAAGGGGAGGAAGACTTATTTTTTTGCATTCGCAACCGCGAATGTGGAGATAGGGCGTGTCACGTACTCGATTCATTATCAAGTAAAACTGGAGGCTCCGCTAACTGGAGAATCGTACGACATATTTTATCGCCAGACGGGAAAAAACATGATTATAGATATCTTCCTGCCCAGAAAAGCCGAGGGCACGCTCGTAGCTTGAGACTTACTGTTGCGTGTATATAAGAGGAAACGAAATGGATGAAAAATCTCGAGAAACACAACAAACGTCTCCAATCTTTCCTCTACAGCAGAAATGTCCAAATTATATCACAGGGACTGCTTAAAGATATCGCAATGTCTTTAGGATATCCATATGATACATTCGGGATATTTCTGCTGTGTGGATTATTACACATGGAGGGAATTTTGTTTTAAAATTTACCCCGAAAATATGGTAGTTGTGGTGCAATACAATATTTTAAAGATTTTTACCATGCACTTCGGTAAAATTAATCAAACTTATTTTATACTTTATTGTAGTTTTATTAATGAATGAGAGAGATTTACATTAAAATTATTGGAAATACAATGTTGTCCCACGATTATATTCTCAAGGTCTAAACTAAGAAAAAATTCTCTCCGTGTACAAACAATCAGGTATTTTATATTTTATTTTGAGACTAATAACTATGACAGGCTTTATTTTATGCTTAGGTTTAGACAAGAAAATTATTGTATCTTAATTGTATAAGTATTTGAGATTTTCGCTGATATCGCATATATCAGGTTTTTCTTATCAGATTTTTCTTTTTTTTTTTTTGCATTAAAATATCTCTTTCCTGGCAATACAAAGTTCTTATTAGTAACAACAATCACATATCGGTTGATTATATAATAAGAAAAAAAAGACGGTTCTGTAATTATATCACAATTTTTGCATCGCAATATAAATTGTATAATTATAGAACTATTTTACATCATAATAAGTGGGAAACATCGGTCTAATTTTGTACAAATATGATTGCTTTATCTATTGCTTAAATAATCATGAGCTAGACACGTGAAAAAATAATGTCAAAAAGAATATCGTAAAGACATCAAACATTGTAAGATTCCATGAAGACAACTCGGACAACCCGAAGATGTCACCGAGTCGAATAAATTTTGCAGTAAAATCTTAAATATTTATAATAAAAGTATGATAATTTTCTTGTAAAATCTAAACGAGAGTCAGCAAAATAAAGCCTGTCATAATATAGATAATAGAACTTATATAAACCACAGTATAAAATTTCATAATTTCGCGTCTGAATGATTGATGATTTCTAAGAAATGTAGTTTTTTAATGTCTACTTGCTCGATTAGTAAAAATTTCCATAGACGCAGCGGCGTCTCAATAAATCAAAAAATAAACATTAAAAAGATAAGTAAAATAACAGAAAGAAAACTAGAGTTTCTTCTGTTTAAATTAGGATTATATGATAAACATTTCCCTTGTTTTCGAAGCTTTTGTTCAATATTTTTACTACTACCTCACAATTCAGATATTATGATGTCAGAAACGAGAAAATACATGATAAAAATTCCTGCAAAGAGTATGGAAATATGTATAAAAATATTAATAAAAGAACGCACTTAATAGAACTGAACCTTATCTATTCTTGAAAAAAAAAACATATATGAACAACTAGAGAAATACTATACGTAACGTATACTATAGTATATCTCTAGTCTTTCGTATAATTTTTTTTCAAAAATAGGGACCCTACATATAAAATATAAAAGTTCTCCTTTTGTTCCTTATTTAATAATTAATAAATAACTATATATCTGGAAATGAATTGTGTATAACAATAAGAAGTAAGCTATATTCTAATTGTGACAAAATAATAAGTTATAATA